CCCCTGAACCTTTAAAGCCCCTACCTTAAGCCGAAATAACCTACCTTTTTGAAGGACTCATATAAGGAAATCATAATACGGAACCCCAAAGAGGTAGGTTATTCCGGCTTAAGGTAAGCCCTGAACCGATCCTCAGGCATCCTGGTCCCTCGGCCCTTGGAGTCGCCGGAGGCCACAAGAAGTTGGCGCAGGTGTTTCGGGACTTGGGAGGCATCATCTGGGAGTTTCAGGGGTTCCTTTAAGGGTTCCTTTAAAAGGGATCTATAGGGTTTAGGGTTTAGGGTATGGGGGTTTCCGAAGATAGGGGGCCCTAAAAATAAAAAACACCCTAAATGGTGGGATCCTTACTATAAGGACCCCAAACTAAGGTACCCCTAGTTTCGGAAACTCCCACTTGGGAGGCAACATTTCGGCAAGGGCCCAGAGCAAGGACAAGAATGATGATGCCATGATAAAGCTAATAGCGTTGTTAATAAAAAAGAATGATAAGAATGACAATAATCCCTTAATGAATTCCAGCGGCCCAGAACTATAAGTGACAATAATAACAGTAAGCGGCAACAACTATTCCAATACATTACAACACAATAACCATCAGCATAGTATTACGGTAACCTGCATAATGCTTATAAGATAATAAGGTATACTAGGATATAGGCAAAATATGGTAAACTGTACTATAACTAGACTACAAGGAATTCTACGGGTCATAAGATTCAGGATTTGAGGGTTGAGGGACCTTCATGGTTTGTGTTTTTTGGGTTTTCGTGTGTAGGGTTCAGCGCTTTACGTTTTCCGGTGTTGGGTGCGCAGGTTCTAGATTTAGGCTTCCAGGTGTGGGTGGCTTGCGTGATTGTTGAGTGTTCGATGGGTCTCGGCTTGTGCTGCAGGACTTCATGGAATTCCCCTCCTGACTCTAAACCCCTCAAGCCCTGAACGCTGCCCTATGCCCCAAACCCGAGCATCACCCACCTCCCTAAACTATCGACCAGAAATTCAGGAAAACTTTCTGCCTCGGTCGATCAGTGTAAACGCTCAACTGCATTTTGGAAGCATTGGGGAAGGATTCGGTTTAGCATGACAGGCCCTCGACCCCGACTGCGTACATGAGGATTTAAGGTGTAGGGTCAGGTGTTGGGGGGCATTCAACATGAATGTTAAACCCTAAACCTTGACCCCAAACCCGACAACCCTAAAACACCAAGTTTGAATCTGAGCCCTACACCCTAAACAGGATCTCTCACGGCTGGCACCCAATCCAGCGACTGCTGAGTTTGTCGAAGATCGCCTGGTCGGAAGCCTGGAGCAACCGAGACCGAAACTGCTTCCCGGGCTGATTTAGGCTTTCGGCTTGAGGGTAGCAGTAGCTGTAGGTACGACTTCTAGGGCTCACAGTGTTTGGGGACAGGGGGCGGTATGCCCGGCAGCAAGGAGGCATACGATGAAGCAAGAGTAAATTAGCTTGAGTCTTCTTGGCTTTAAGCTTTGCTGGGGCGGTGTCCGGCCGACATGAGGTCTCAACGGCTGGAAATAAGTATCCCTGAGTCTGAGTAATCCCTAACATTCTCGACTAGTATGAACCCCCATACTGTCAAATCTAACCATGCAAGCCCCAACATGTTTAATTACGCACACCCGGACCAAAAGGCTGCTTGGCTTGATTCCCGACAACCCCTTTCCAACAGACGTGGGGTTGAAGGCTTTGGCGGTCGGGGTCTGGCAGGCTGGCATCTCACGCACATGCGAAAGCCCTTTTTCCACAACGCCCTAGCATTCACGGCCTGCCCATGGCCTCCGAAGGTGCACCCTCCTATCTCGCCAAGCGGGTGCTATGCCCATGTAAAGAAGCAGGGCCCTGAATCATGAGTACTCGTAGTCCTTCAAGTTGTCTGTTTACGGGGATGGTCTCTCCTTTGAAGATCCCCAAACATGGGTTGTAGGGTTTTGGGGTCAAGTCGTGGAATTATGGGGCTTAGGAGTTAGAGCTTCGCCCCAATTCAGTCGCGTCTACATTGCCATTTGCAAGGCCCATGTGCTTGAATCTGTCCGCCGCATCGTCTCCACCATGCTGGGCCCTCAGCACGAAGGACTGTTCCGATATCAAGTGCTTTCAGAGTTTCTGCCTTATGTCCGATGTTGGGTCCCTAAGCCGCAATTAAACCCGAAGCCTTTTTCGGAACGATCAAATTGAGCATCTACCTTATTCATAAGCTGGCGAGCTGCCGCAAAGCATCGGCGGCAGCGTGCTCATTGAATCCGTTCCGTGTAGGAATTTCCGACCTACGATTCCGGCGCCAAGCATCCGTCTACAGTCATCTGCCAAGAGCCAGATGACACTGAATCACTGGACCATGGCCTTGAAAACAATTCATTTCCTCAGCCCAGACTGAAACCCAGCCGCCCAAGAGCAACGCGCCCAAGGCCCTGGAACCTGGAAGCCTTTCAGCTCCGCAGACCCACTCTGCCCTTAAAACCTGATCCCTAGCTTTGCCTGAGGGTTCCAGTTTGATTGACGTATGATATAACTTACACCCAAACCCTACTCGATTTATTAAGGCCCCTTTATGAAGAACGCAGCGATGCGACCAACCCAGGGACGCGGAAGGCTTTGGCGACGTGCCCCTCATCGGCTTCTCTGCGGCTCCGTGGACGCTGTTCTTCTACATGGCCGGGCGCCTCAGTGTTGAGGTGAGGGACTTTGTCATTGTTTGTTGTTAGGCGGTTGCCTCGGGGGTCCGTGTACCTGCATAGTATACTTTGGCATTAACATGCCGATGTAAGAACCCCCCTGAAGGCAACAGTCTTAACTACATAGGTACATGGACCCTCCGAGCGCGATTGAGTGATCGAGTTTGGTCTTGTATGATAGTCCACAACCTACAGCAAGCTCCAGTCCATTGCCTCGTCAGTATACCACAACCCTAAAAGCGTAACCCCCGCAGCAATTGTAGATGGTACCGTGACAAGTGGTGTTACAGTATTGTTCACTGCATCCTAGTGTGTCACTTTGTCATCTGCACATCTTGATAGATCATGCCTTCGGAAAATGTCGTGACTAGCAGTGGATACCCGGATCGTCTCACATGCCCGGCATCAGCCATTAAGAACTTGTACATAGTTTTGGCTTTGGCTTTGTGTTTTGTCTCGGCAAGCCATGATGCGGGCAGAAACACGCCTCGAAAGGAGGCTGCAGTAGAGTGAGGCATCATGCGTGGTGCACTTTAAAGCCGCGATGATGTGAGATACTAGCCTGTTTGTTTACGCTGTTTGTCTGCAGTGGTACTTGCATGTCTTCTGCCCTATACCGCCTGAGCTGTAGCCAATGCACCGCCCTTCGAAGCGAACCAACCTCGCCTCCATTGTCCGAGTTGCGAGGGTGCAAAACCGAGCCCTGCGCCCTGAGCCCTCAAACCAGACAGAGGTGGTCAGGTCGGGGTTTTACTGTTGGGGGATTGGGGTGGAGGGGGCCGTTCCGGTTCGGTAACTCAGTATTTGGTGCTGCCTGCTAAGGGTCCTCAATATCCGAAGCCCCCTACCCTAGAGAACCCTTGAACCCTGAAACAGGTTCATCTATGCCCGGTGTACGCTCACCCAAACCCAAGACTCTACGACTCTAAGCTATAACTCTAAGCATTGATGGAAGCTCCATGGTACCAAACACTATGGTGGAAGCAAAGTTAGAGTAAAGTAACGATCCTGAGACCTTAAACCTTATGGAGCACCGGAGGCCGAACAAAAACATCACGGAGCCCTGGACTCTCCAACTGAAAAGACTTAGGGGTATTTGGAAATATTTTGAATTTTTGGTTATTATAATCCCTAAGAAACAGCTAAAATTACATTTTTTCGCTAGGGTTCTAAGTTCAGTATAGAAGAGCTCTACTTGGAGGTCCATGGGTAGTTATAAGTGGTGTTTTAAGTAGGGGAACTATCATTATAACCTATATTAGGGGACTTATAACTCTACTTATAGCTACCCATGAACCTCCAAGTAGAGCCCAAGAAACCCAGATTGTTGAGCTCTATAGAACCCTGGAACAGAAGCCTCTGCAGGTGGGGGGCTCTTCGCGGAAGAGGACGCTTGCTCAAGCGGTTTCGGGGTTGTTTTGGAACTGGGACTACCACTTACTGAGCTGTGAAGGTTCTATGGGGTTCAAGCTGTAGGCTTTATAGGGTTTAATTAGGCTTTAGGATTTCGGTTTACCGTGTTTTTGAGTTTAGGTTTTCGGGTCACACAGGTTGACTGTTTGTCTGCCCATTTTGACGTATGGGACATCCAGGTTCGAAAGGGCTAAGGATGTAGAGTTTCAGGGTGAGTTTTAAGATTCTGGGTTGATTCTGCAACAGGTCCCATCACGTACATCCGCCGCCCTTGAAGGAGTTCCGATTGCGATTTTTGGGCCGAGTTATGGACTTGTTGTCTCTCTCTCTCTCTCTAGGTACACACATTCGTTGAATGGGTGCCGCGGCAAGTGGGGGTTTTGTTACAGACCCAACCCCCACCTCCAAGTTGTTGCTGCCAGTGTTTTCATCATGCTCTTTTCAGGGAGCACAACCTTTGCTGACGATGCTTTCACGGTGAATCGATCCCTTACAAACCGGAGGACTCTGAGGATTGAAATTTTCTACATATACCACCCACTTGTTAAAGCCCCTATTTGCCAAGACCCTATTCCAACTATGAAGCCGTTTACGTGATTACTGTTTAAGGATCATAGTGTTCTGGTCGCCCCTGGCACCGTCAAGAGCTGGCACAACCTGCCGTTGTCCTGACAGTCATGACGATCGAACCAGTTCTCCCAGAAGAAGACCTGCTGGTGCTGCCGCACCCTCTGCACAAATCACTACTGTCCTTAGGCTTGTAGGCTTTAGCGTAATCAGCCGAAGGTCAGTCTCGTGAATCCGGGGCACCTAAACCCTCTCACCTTAAACTTAAACCATCCCGGACTTGTGCCGAAACCATCCGTGGCTTCTGGCTCAAGTGTTTCCAGCATGGACCCATGGACCCCCTTGCATCCGTCCAGCCCGAGCCGAATGACTCACGGGCCATGATGAAGCTTGTCTACAGTTTAGGTTTTTTGTTTAGGACTTTCTATTTTTGTTCATATAAGGCCCAAGAGCATATTAAGAAAAATATGATTATGATGGTTCTAAGGGGGGTATAATACAATGTCAGAAGTGGGAGTTTCGAAAGAAAGGGGACCCTAATATAGCGCCCTACACTGTAGGATCATTATTATAAGGTTCCCAAAAACAAGGTACCCTTACTTTTCGGAAACTCCCAAGTGGTATAGGCTTATTTGTCGGACGCCGTAGCCGAAAAAGCAGCTGCACACTCAAAGCATCAGCAGACACAATTGCTTTCATAACCTCGACTAGTTATACCCGTAGTTATAGCTCTACCGGACCGAGATCCAAGCCTGAACCTTCAAGCAATCTAAACGCCTAAACCAGGACACCTCGCATGACCCCGCTGTTGAAACAAGTTCAAGCCGAAGACCATGTTATCAAGTTTGGACCGGGTACCCCATATGGTCAACGGAGGTCCTGAAACACTTGAAAGCCTTCTTTAGCAAGCCGAACCCCTTGAGAAGAGAGAGACATCGTCAAAGACGGCCACTAGCAAGGAGAGCTGTTTGACAGCTTTAATTACACTACGCCCCAGCCTTTACAATCATAAAACCCAAAAAGCCCTAAGTTACAAACCCTGATAGAAACCGTACTTTCATAGAAATCCATGCCCGCATTGAATGTGAATCCTTATGTAACCTTGTATAAGCTCCAGAAAGCCCTACACATAACCCTTTTTCAAGACACGTGTCAAGCCTGAAAGCGAAACCTTAGGTCCCTCATTTCTCGACTCTGAACCCTACACCCCTAACCCTAAACCCGAAACCTTAGCGGGAACCCTAACCCTTATCCTCCGGAAGCCCAGGGGGAGGCTGGCCGCATATGCAAGTCAACGCCCAAGAACCCCAAGAACAAAGCTTGGACGAAGGCTGTTTATGTTGCCCCAAATTCGATATCCAAACTAGACCTTCAAAGGTAGGAGGAGGCAGAAACAGACCCCAAGCCACTTGACAAAGCCTTGCACTCCCTTGTTCCCCAAGGCTGGCAGCCTTCCACCAAACAAAAAAGAGCCCTAAACGCCCTAGGCCCTCAACCCCTAGCCTAAACTTTAAACCTCTTATAAACCTCAAAACCTAAAACCTCAAAAATCTAAAACCCCCATGTGTGGAGCCTTACCTGCCTTGTTGGAGAGTGAGTCAAACTTACCCATATAGGCCCCATAGTAGTTCCTTTTTGGGATTAACTTATAGGATTCTACATTTGAGCCCCAAATCGGAAACTATTTTGGTGGCTCCTTATTGTGTATATATATATATAGAGAGAGAGAGAGAGAGAGAGAGAGAGAGAGAGAGAGAGAGAGAAAGAGAGAGAGAGAGAGGGCGAGAGAGAGAGAGAGTATAATGGGCCCCAAAACCCGATTTTAATTATTAAGGCCCCTATATGAAGCACCTTCCGCAAGGTTGGCCGCATTTGTGGCCTCCGGCGACGAGGCCGGCGTTCGCCGCGTCATCGAAGCCGACCCTGGCGCCGTCGCGCGGCGTTGGGGGGAGGGGGAGAGGGGGGGAGATGGTCGGGTTCAGGGTTTACCAGGTTTTCCGGGTTGATGCGTTTGCTGGGGTATAGGCTTTTGCTTTTTTAGGGTTTTGGGGGCTTTGGAGATTGCCTTCCAGTTGTGAAGGGGGTGGCTGCTTTCAGTCGTTGCCAGAGTCAGAGGCTGAGCAATCTGTTTAGTACCTCGAAAACCCAAAATCCTCGACTCAAACCTTGAATGAATCTTACCCCACCCTATAACCGAAACCCCAATCTCCAGCTACCTTATTCGGTACTTACCGGGATTTCGTGAAGGGACGATACATCAGTTAATAATCATAGCTCAGCTCTTGAGTTTTGCTTAAGTCTTCAAGTCGATATTTAACTATATGCATATAATATACGAACTGGGTTCACATTTAGGCACTGTCGGAGCAAAGTACACAGTTTATAGGTACATGCATGGACCATGGGTGAATATGCTCTCCATCTTTCAGAGCAGGTTCGATGCGGGCTGAATTGCCAACAACCCGATCTTGAGCTCGATATCTCAGTTACAAACTTGGTTTCCGCTTTGACTAAGCCTTTGGGTTATACTGCCGTACTAAAGTTATTTTGGAACGAGAGGTTCCGGGTTAAGTGGATTTCAGGTGTTTGGGTCTAAGGCCTAAAGTTTTGGGCCGCGAAGGTCAATGAGGTTGGCCTGGATGGAACATCTCCACTCTGTGCTGCTGCTATGTGGGGCCACGCCACGCAGCCTTCAAGTTCAGAACGGTGCTGTTCAGCTATAGAGTTGCTAGAGCAGTTACGGTAAGGAATCATGGAGACACGGTGGAACATGAGTCTCTGTGTAATCGCAATGCTGATGATACTTTTTGTTGGCGGTAGATGGCGGTAGTAGTAACAACAACAGCAGCCGCAGCAGCAGTCGGCGAATCTTCGCCGTCGTCAGCAGTGGGAGCAGGAGGGGGCGCTTGCGTGAGAGTTGGAGTGGGAGTAGGAGTCGGAGTGGGGCTACCAAACCCAAGCCTCAGGTGAACATCCTTCGCTTGCTTCTGGACTCAATGGCCTCCCCTGCACTGCGGAACGAGAACGGCCCACAATGGACAGTTCCCTGGGTCCCAAAAAGCTTAGAGTTTGGGAATTTTCAGCTTGCTCCCTGGGGGGCCGTAAGAAATCAAGTTTTGGAGATTTGAGATTGTAAGCTTTCGGGTTTACGGAGATGTGTTGCCATTATGTTCGTCGGGGTGTCTATCGCTAGAGGGTCTTCGTAGGGGGCTGGTATGGGTGGGGTCTCAGAAGGGCCGTCAAGGGTGCTTCAAACATTATTTCACTACTGTAGAATACTGTAGACTATCGGCTCGATTCGATGCGCACAGGGGCTGTTTACGTGGCCACCACGAATCCTCTCAAAACGATTCGTAACTACAGCCCAGAAAAGCCTCAAACCCAAAGTCTTTGCACCTTGAGCCTCTTAGCCTGTGATGGTGTTCAGCGTGTCGGTGCTGTACTACGGCACTACGTTCTAGTCGAGCTCAAGGGTCGGGGTTTGGCATTTGTTGAAGTTTCGGCTTGAGGTTTGAGGGTGCGGTTGTAGAGCTATGAATCAGGCTGGTGCAGTTGGAGGACCAAGCCAGGTCCCATCGTCCGCTTGCGCGCCGCTGTGTAGTGACTCTGGCGGGCCCTTTACCGCCAGCTACCTCGTAATCATTCCGTACCCGAAGTTCTCAACCCTATTCGGTCTTGGGTTTTGCCCAAGGCTCTACATGCTGCCGCATTGCAAGAGGAGGGCAAGGCGCACGTCAGGAATTCCACCCGAAGCATCGGGTAGGGCTGTAAGGGTCTAAGTCGGTCTAACAGTAAAGGGTTCAAGGTTACTAACAGCTCGATATTGGCATTGGGGTTTACGAACAGGGCCTCAGCAAAGTTTGACATATCACCGGTGTGGTCACGATTGAGGGCGGGGGGTTGCATAGCCTCTCCACTTCTTGGTTGTTGACCGACACACACCCTTCAGGCTTGAATTGCAAAACCCGGAGAGATCTGATGCCAGGAGTGGTTCTTGACGGTGGTCCAATACACGGCCGATACAAGAAGACGTCCCGTGCACGAAGCAACAACGCACAATGTCAAATCATGCTCCTTGATCCTGCAATCCCAGAACTGAAGCCCTTGCGCTTACACCCTTAATTCTCCAGACCCTCATTCCTGAAACCCCACCAGACTCTAAGCGACAGAAGCGCCCGTAACCCCGAAAAGGATAAGGGCCCCAAACATGTTCAAATCGAGGCCTGCATGCTGCTGCTGGAAAAACGAGCGAACCCTGAGGAGAGAGATTTGGAAGGGGTTTCTCGGCAGGGAACAAAGGGTTTTTGAGGTGTTTTTTACAGGGCTTTTCACGGTCTCTTCTTCGTGTCCTTGTGAGGCATTGGAGTTCTACAAAGAGTTCTTTTGTGAGGGCTTACAAGTGTTCTTCAGGGTGCTTGTTTCAGCTTTCTTTTCTGTGGGAGAAGGACATGAGGATGTTGGCTCTTTTTTCTTGAGGTTTGGGTTGGGTCGCCCAAAGCCCTGGCAGAAATTATGGAGGTTGCTGCATTGGCCATAACCGAATTGCTGCTGTGCTGGATTCTGTCACTCAGGTGACCCCTTGCGACTATGCATCAGTCTCCGATTCTTGGGCCTGGTATTTCAACCGGAGGCATCTGAGAGTTCGGTATGTTGCTCCTTCGCGTCAGGGTAAGCCAGGCGGAGCCACCATGAGAGCAATCTCACAGAGTCGCTGTTGGGCTGGAGGTTGCTAAACCTGGGTGATTGTCAGAAATCAGGAACCTGAAACAAAATGAATCAGTTTTGTAGTTTTGCATCGCAGCTTGCGTAGGAGTTTGTATGGTCGTGTACAGTCATCATGTTGTGTACTATATACCGCTGACTATTGTGCCCAAGCCCTCTGAGTAAAAGAGTCTTAGCTCGCTCATGGCTTAACGGTTTTGGTGTATTCAAAAAGGTTATCAGCCGTATTCGCTGACTTTGTCTCCGTGGTATTCTTACACTGGTATTCGCATTGGTACATGAGCACTTCTCCCTCTCTGCTCACTACTGAGAAGGGAGAAACAACCGAAGTATCATCGGACGAGATGGACGACGAAACAAGAGATCGACTGCTTGATGAACAACTTACAGCAGCTGGCGCGGGCCCTATGGCACCGAGCTCAGGATCCCAAGCACTCGATAGGATCTTCGGTCCAGTGGGTCCTACCCTATCTCCATTTGTCTCGAATCCAACGGTCGACATCTCAAACGTACAGTATACCTTGTACAATGTTGTGAACCAGGGTGAAACAGCTGAACAACAAAGAATGGCAATAGAGCGAACGGAGGCAGATGCTGAAAGAAGACACGCAAGCATTCTGAACCAACAATCGCATGATAACCTTGTGAGAATGGCTGGCATGGCTGAACAGGCCGAGCGCCTTCATGAGGTGAAGATGGCAGAATGCGAAGCACAGTTTGCGGAATTTGAGTTCAACGCATCCCAAAGGGAAAAGTTTTTGTTGAACGAAGTTGCAACATGCAGAAATGAAATGAACATTCTGGAATCAATTTTCCAACAACGACATCAGTCGGAAATCGCTAAGCTCAGAACTACTCTGATTGCTGAGAGCGAACGCAACAAAGCACAACATCTTGATTTTCTTGGAATGCGATTCAAACAAGTTCTTGAAGAAACCGAAGCGAGTATGGAACGACGTTTCATTACTGAAATCGCTGAAATGAGTGCGCAAAACGACAGACTGCAGGATGAACTGGCTGCCGCAGAACGAGCCCTAAGAATGGAAGCCAATGCGGACGAAGCGGGCAAACAATATGCCACGCCGAAGCCAGGACCTAATCCTGCTGTCCCGTTCTCAAATCCATTTGAGATTCCCGAGAATATGAAGGACATCTTCGGAAGAACGCCGCAAGCTCAGGAACCTCTGCAAGGAACTTCTGTACCACCTGGGTTTGAGAACAGAGAGCCACAAAAGGAAAAGTCTCCTAAAGCTGCCCAAGCGGGTAAGCCGGCGACTGTTGATCCAGAAGGGGTTCCAACTGTTGATTTCGGAGCTGAGGCATTGATTAGGGCAGCTCGCTTGCTTACCCCTAAGACCGAAGATGAAGAGGGCAAACCAAAGGTCAAAGAAGCCGAAAGTATCAAGCTTCCCGATTACCCTAATCCAGAGACCTACCGATCATGGCGGATCTCGGTCCGCGAGATTGTGCGGGCTGCGAGCGATCGCCCGGATGAGGCATTTCGCTGGGTGCAGGAAGTATACGATAAAGAGGCTACCCTCAAGTCCTTACACGACACTGGGAAATTCTTAACATTGGACACGAAGTTGTTAGCTGCACTTACCAGAGTCGCTAGAGGAGAGATTTCAAGGCAAGTCCTAAACTTCAAAGAAACAGAGGCCACAGGAGGACGTGCCGTCAGGGGAAGACAAGTGTTGTGGATGTTTCATCAACACTTTAAGACTAATGAAGAAGTCGGAAGCCTCTATAGCGTAGAAGACCTCCTGAAAGTGAAGTTGGTTGGGGACGATTTGGCTACTTTCCTTTACAACTTCGAGTCGGTGATTGCTGGAATGAGTCATGTTCCGGATGAAGTTACCTTGAGGGACATTTTGCTGAGGGAAATTCGGAAATCCCACCACATCAAGTACGATCTTCAGTTGTACGACAGGGCAAAGGAAGGAAACCCCATACACACGTATGAATTCCTTGTCAATGCCATTAGGGAGCATCTGACTAGAGAGCGTATGCGTAAGAATCGTGACCGCATCGCTAAGTCGCATGGCGATAGATACGGAGCCCCAGCGTACGGATCTGAACGTCGCCCCTCTTCACGAGGAGGCCGTGGTAGAAGCATGTCCCGAAGTAGCTCAAAATCCAGAACAAGCAGCAAAGGATCGAGCCAACGAACACCGCCTAGATCTCAGAGTCCCAAAACGCAACAGGTTTGTTACGACTTCCAGAAAGGAAAATGCACAAGAGGCGACAAGTGTAAGTTTCTCCACAAACCAAAGTCCAGATCCCCAAGTCCTCATCGAACGCCTCAAAAGAAGATTAACGCGATTTGCACCTTTTGGAAGAAAGGCAAGTGCAACAAAGGCAAAGACTGTAGGTTTCTGCATCAAGATAAGCCCAATCCAACTGACGCCGCTCCTACCGAGCAGGCCGCCCCTGCGAAGAACGATGAAAAGCCTAGGAGTCCGACCCCGGATCCTAAAGCAAAGAAGGAAAAGAAACAAAGGGGCAGGTCCAAGAGCAAGGAAAAGTCTGGCGGACGCACGGCAGCTTGTTGCATTTCGTATGCGCTGGCAGCTGTGCCCAATGGGCAAGGCGTCAAGGGTGATGCTTCAGGAACGTTCAAGAAATTAAGGTTCAAGGAGAAGCCAAGCATTCGGGAGATTCCATTGGATGGTAAGGGTAAGAAGCATAGGACCAAACCGCGAACTTTCGAAGTTTGTTACTTGGATGCTGAAAGCTGCCCAAAGCCTCCAGTTCAGGACCTAAGCACGGCCATAAGAACAGCGAACGAGCTTGCCAGGATCATGTCCTGTATGCTCAATGGGATTGAAAGCCACTGTGAGTACGAGTGCACAGATGACTGCGAAGAGGGTGAGATCCCAATTGCAGTGTTGAAGTGCGAGCTGTGTTCTAGCGTGGAAAGAACAGCATGCTCTAGCTTTAATGCGGGATTAGAATTCCTCGCCGATACTGGCAGTGAAGAAGATCTGATCAGTAGGCACGATCACTCTATCTACTACCCAGAGGCTCCCATCGAAAACGCTAGTAGGCCGGTCAACCTGATTACAGCTAATGGTCCAGTTCAGGGAATCAAGTCAACCAACATCCCGATGCCTGAATTGAAGCAAAACATTGAGTGCTATCTACTGGAAAGCACGCCACCGGTTTGTTCTGTTGGGAGAAGATGCATGGATGATGGATATGATTTCCATTGGCCTGCGGGCAAGGTTCCATACTTTATAGCTCCCGATGGTAAAGTCATCAAGTGTAAGATGAAGGGTAGAGTCCCAGTGATCTCAAATGATGACTCAGTAGCGAGCCCAGCAAGCGCCGATGATTCCCAGAAATCTGCTGGAACTCAGGTGTTTAATGCCGGTACAGTCAAGGTTGAACTGGCGGCACCTGCGGAGGACGAGTCTTCGGGTTTCCAGTAGAAAGCCGTCCGAGAGGACCGGCCGGGGATGAAAGAGTCGTCCACAGCGACTCCGAGATAGAAGAAGCAATCAATGCTGCACCGCCAATTGCAATCAAGCCTAAAGATTTAGCCAAGCCAGGTTGGATCACTAGCAGTGAAATTGCCGCATCAAAGATCATTATTGGTCATCGGCCAAAGGCTTTGCGAGTACCTGCACCTCGTCATCCAAGGTTCGTGCTAAGGACCACTTGGATCTACAAGGACTCTGCTTGGAGCAAGATTGAGGATTCTGTTGACATCAGAAGTCTAAGGGTTAAAAATCAAAAGATTGATGGATCGCCAATTCTGTCGATTACTGCTTTCAAAAGACCCGAGGACGACCCCTTAATCGAGCCCGATAGTGACAAGGAAGAAGATGAGGGAAAGGAAATCTCGCAAGAAGCCCGGCTTCGCGCCGAGGCCGAAAGCATCCATCATCAATTCTGCCATCGTCCTAAGAACCCATTCTGCAAAGTGTGCCAAAAGGCGAAGATGCTATCTCCCCAAGCTCGAAGAAAGGGGGGATCTTCGACCATACACAGTGAAAAGTATGGGGATCATGTTACCATTGATCATCTCGTGACAAGAGATCTGAGGGACTTTGGATTTCAGGATGAGAGGGTGGCGCTTGTTATCAAAGATGTGTTTTCGCAATTTAGGTATGTGTATCCTAGCGCAACAAAATCAACGGAACAAGTGCATGAGGACCTTCTGCACTTTTTCGGTACGCAAGACGAAGTTGGGGTTATTTACTCTGACAACGCGCCGGAGTTGGGAGCAGCTGTGAAGGAACTCCGATGTAGGCACAACACCTCTAGAGAGTACGTGGATGAAACTAAGGCCGTCATCGAACGGGAAATCCGCACCGTACTAGAGGGTACGCGCTCGAACTTGGAGCAAGCCGGTCTTCCAGAACGGTTTTGGCCTTTAGCAGCTCAGCACCACTCCATTGCGCTCAATCTCACAAAACGAGTGGATACTGGTGAAATCCCATGGGAGGCACGCTTTGGGGAATCCTTTGCGGGATTGATTGTTCCTTTCGGAGCTAAGGTCTTGTATTGGCATAACCCTAAACAGAATGTTCCGGAGACTTCCAAGTTTTCGTCAACTGGGGTTGAAGGGATCTTCCTGGGATACCATATCCAACCAGGGTTTGTTTGGAAGAAGGAGTATTTGATTGCACCCGTGAAAGACGCACAGTTTGCCATTGAGGACGGAAACCTCAAGGTCATCAGGGCTAAGCGCGTTGAGTTGATTGAGGGGAGTTTTGAGTTCCCACTTCAATCGGGAAGGATCAAGGATCGCGAGGCACACGAGGTTCCACTGTTGGATGATCAGAACATTCATGCTTCAGATGAAGAAAAGGAACGGGGACTTCGTGAGGCAGGCGAACTTCTTGATGAAATCGGCTTATCCGAACCCGAACCC